GAGTGGTTCTCTCTCTACCACTGAAGCGTGTGGTGTTCACACCTGTCCAGAGCTGCCTCTGAGCAGCACCTTTACCTACCTATTCTCTTTTTAATTTCAAACTATATGCCATGACATGGCCAAGCACTTCATATATAGTAACTCATAAAATCAGCATCAAAACCACTTTGAGGTTGGTGTTACTGTCATCACATTTTATGGACAAGGGGATAAGTCTTGGAGGAATGAGGTGACATATACCTAAGGTCACACAGCAGGTAAATGTTGTGCAGAGTGTCACACTCTAATAAGACCATACCTATGTTCTTAGCTATTTTTCCCCTTACTGAGTGGCCCCAAACCCTCCATCCATCTGCATCACTTAGAGACTAGGTTGTGGCAGAGCCAGCCTGGGTCCACCTCTAGGAGTTCTCCACCTCAGTTGATCCCTCTGGAAGAAGACCATTGACTGGCAGTTGAGATTACAGCAAATGGAGCCAGCAGGGTTTATAAAGACCAGGGGGCAGTGGCAGCCTCCTCTAGTTTGATGGACAACATTTTACATGGAGCAGGATTCTGACACTGAGCCACACTGCTCTTAGAGACACTTCCATCCCTCATTCTGAAATAGCATTTTTGGGAAGCCAAACACTTCCTCTTTGGTTTGACATCTTGCCCATCTTTGAACAATTAGTTCGTGTTCCTGATGTTCATTGTTTCTGCTCTATTTCATTTGCCCGTTGATGCTGGTCCACTCGGTGATGGTAATGGAGGTCACTGGCTGCTTTTTCATCTAAGCTGCACAATGAAGGCTTGTCAGTTGGGCTTTTCATGATGGTCTGTCCTCCTACTTTTCCTTTCTGTTTACTCATCGGCAGAGTTTGGAGAGTCCTGAGCCCAGTCTTCGATTCCACCAGCTCTTTATCTGGCTGCAGCACGTTGGGGTAAGAGGGAGAGACAGGGGTTAGGTAACAGAATGTTGGAACTGGACTGGATGGACCTTGCAGCTCATTCTAGAGGCACTTGACCCCATATTACAGATGGAGAAATGGAGGCCACCTGGCAGACAGGATGGGAGCTGGGCCTCCTAGTGCCCAGACCAGTCTCCTCCCTTTCCCGGGGTACATGCTTCCTGGAGCCACTGGCTAGTTTGTGTGAGAAAGCAAGTGGTTCTCACATCAGCTGGAAAAACCCATGTCCAGTTTTTACTCCTGATGCTGGCAAATTCTCCTGTGCCTACTTTGGGAAGTCAGAAAGGGGAAGTGAGATAATGATCCTCAGTGGTAAGATTCTGGTGATTGCCCTGCTTGGGGGCAGCTCTGAAGCTCCATGCTGCCCTGCGGGGTCCTGGCCCTTGGGCCTCAAACTTTCTTTTGTTCTTTCCCAGGAAGCTGGTCTGAGGAAGCCCAGATGCGTTTGTTTACTGCTGTCTCTGGGTGATGTTCGCCAGGTTCTGTGGTCAGAAGGAATGTTTCTATCCCCTTCTTTATAGCTCCCTTTGGAGCATTTGGAGAGACAGACCAATTAACAGCAACTACTTAGAAACCTGGGAGGCTAGCAGATATGTCTGGGGCCAAGATTAAGAAGAAAAGTTGTAGATTTGCCCGGATTTTCCTGTTATTTATACTCTCTATTAAGAAAATTTAGTGGGGGTGCCTGGGTGACTCAGAGAAGCGTCTGCCTTCGTCCTGGGGTCCTGGGATGGATTGTCATGTCAGGACCCTTGCTCAGCAGGGAGTCTGCTTCTTCCTCCCCTTCTGCTCCCCATCCCCACTTGTGGTCTCTCTCTCTCTGTCTCTGTCTCTGTCTCTCTCAAATAAACACAAGCTTTTTTTTTTTTTTAAAGAAAATTCAGTGTCTATGGAGAAGTCATAGGGTCTGTGAGCCTCAGTTTCCCTAAATATAATATGGGCATAATATCTGACTTTCCTCATCCTTGGGGAAAAGTAAAAATAGGATTGATATGAAAGGCAGGTCACACAGCAGGTAAATGTTGAAAAATAATAGCAAAGCAAAAATAATAAAATAAGTTAACATGAACTTGTTGAATTAGTCTTCCCTGCCTAGTAGGTGCAGATCTTTTTTTGACCTTGGAAAATCATCATGTTATGCAAAAAAAGAAGGCTTCCAAGTCTGAAGTACAGTTCAGAGCCTCGTTGCCAGATCAGAGAGGGGCCCTTTGCTTGTTGATGGTCTCTCACTTCCCAGAGGGAAGGCTTGGGAGAGGCAGGCTGCTCCCCCAGATGCCCAGGGCCCAGGGGTATAGATTCGAGTTACTGATGTCCTGGTAGGAACCTACAGCCATGGCGGGCTAGACTCCACGCAGTCTAGACAAAGGCTGTGGTGTGGCTAGGGAAGCCTGTGGGCCTGCAGCTCTGAGAGCCACGGGGGACTTAAAAGGGTCACAGCTTTCACTGCTGGCCCAGAGCTCAGGCTGTGGCTGCAGGCCCCCCTCACAGGATTGGAGCATGTGGGGAGGGTCTATGTGTGTGTACATGAGTGTGTGCATGCATGTGTATGAGTATAGGTGTGTGAATCTGTATATGAGTGCATGCATGTGTGTGTAAGAGTGTACACATGTGAGTCTTTACATATATGTGAGTGTCTGTGAGAGTGTCTGTGTGTGCATGCATGTCCATGAGTGTACGTGAGTGGGTAAGTGTGACCGTGTAATTAAGTGTGTGATAGAGACAGAGTCTGTATGTAGGAATAGGTCTGTGTGTGTACATGTGCATGTATGTACGTGTGTATGCATGTTCATGACTAAGTGTGTAAGTGTGAGTGTGGGTTTGTGCTCATGCAAGTGTGTGTTTGTGTGCTCCTCTGTGCATGTGTGTTGGGGGTGGGGCACACAGGCCCTTAGGTGAATAAGGGGCAGTTTTGTAGGCCAGCGGCTGCTTTTTATTTTTTTAATTTTTTAATTTTTATTTTTTAAAGATTTTATTTATTTATTCATGAGAGACACACAGAGAGAGGCAGAGACATAGGCAGAGGGAGAAGCAGGCGCCATTCAAGGAGCCCGACGTGGGACTCGATCCTGGGACTCTGGGATCATGGCCTGAGCCAAAGGCAGACGCTCAACCGCTGAGCCACCCAGGCATTCCAGAGCTGCTTTTTATTTTATTTTTTTATTTTTTTATTTTTTTTAATTTTTTTTATTTATTTATGATAGGCACACAGTGAGAGAGAGAGAGGCAGAGACACAGGCAGAGGGAGAAGCAGGCTCCATGCACCGGGAGCCGACGTGGGATTCGATCCCGGGTCTCCAGGATCACGCCCTGGGCCAAAGGCAGGCGCCAAACCACTGCGCCACCCAGGGATCCCTAGTGGCTGCTTTTTAAACAGCAAAGTTGTGTCATGGATCCCCCTGAGTGAGCGAGCTGTGACAGGGAGTGACAGGTGAGGGGACAGATCAGTGCTCCTTAGACCATCTATAGTAAAGGAACAGATTTCTTTTCCATTATTTCCTATCCATTATGGATCAATTAAAATATGCTAAAAATGAATTACTACCAAAATGTTGTAAGAAAGACACAAAATATAGGCCCCAATTTAAAATTTTTAGATGCAGCAGACAGACGATTACTCTGTCAAATTGCTCTAAAGGTTTCCGAAAGCTGCCGGTTTCCTGCCGCTGTCTGCGTGGAACCAAGGGGTAGTGAGGCCAGCGGAGCCTCCGGCCCCTGGAGCCTAACGTTAGGCTTGGCGAGTGGCCCAGGGGAAGTGACTGGCCCAAGGGACACAAGGAGAGAGAAAGGAAGAGGTGTGTGGGTTCTTTGCTGCAGACCAGCCTAGAACCCCTCTAGCAGTGAAGGCAGAGAGATGTATTGAGAGATACCAGCAGGTGGCACAGAGTTAGGGCCAGAATGGCAGGCTCGGGTTGTACCTTCCTGGGCCACACTGTCTCCGCCGCCACTTGTGCCGGCAGATTGGGTGTCCTGGGGCCTGAGTCTCCAGTAGCTCATTTCTGGATCAGATGCCATGGTATATGCATCTGCCTGGTGGAAACCAATTTTTGGCTTTGCTGGGTAAAAGCCCTACTTTGGGATGTGGGGTCGCTTTGTCTGAAAGTAGCTTTGAAATGGGGTTCACTAGTTAGAGTGTGTATGTTTATATAGAAATTATGGTGATTTGATTTCTCTCTGTCTCTTTTCCCCCCAGTGGTATCAAGGCACCTCTTGTGCCTTCTGGCCTGGGATGTCCCAGAGGGTTGCAATAAACAAGGCATAGTGGAAAACTGCTCTGGGGCAGATGGTGGCTTCTCTTCACTTTGTGGTATCAGTGGGAAGACGGGATCTGTGCCTTTGCCTTAATGCCATTTCAGGATAGTTTTTTCTTTTTTATCTTTTTTATTTTTTATTATTTTTTTATTTTTTTAAATTTTTATTTATTTATGATAGTCACACAGAGAGAGAGAGGCAGAGGGAGAAGCAGGCTCCATGCACCAGGAGCCCGACGTGGGATTCGATCCCGGGTCTCCAGGATTGCGCCCTGGGCAAGGCGCCAAACCGCTGTGCCACCCAGGGATCCCAGTTTTTTCAATCTGTAATGTCTAGTGGGCATCTCCTCAAAAGCAGCCTCAGCCCTCCCCTCGGTAGTGGTGGTGGCAGCATGCTGGGAGTGGCTGCTTCTCTGCGGCGCTGGGGGAACCGGCAGGGGCGTGGTGGAGGGTGGTGCTGTGCCTGTGACCCCTTGCCTCACTACCTTCTAAGAGGTCCAGGTAGCTGCTGGTGCCTCCGGCTCAGCATTTTTGCAGCAAAACCTTTGGAAGGAAAGAAGCAGAGCAAAGAGGTCATCTCTGATGGGTGTTGCTTCTTACCTGAGTGTGTGGTCCCTTGAGAGCCTGGAGGATCTTTGCAACAGAGTGCAGGTCAAGACCCCAGGCCTTGTCTTGTCATCACTTGTCCAGGGTTCCAAAGGTCCGGGTGTGTATTTTGGCTCCTTCTCACTCATGCCTTTCTCTGGAGGCCACAGTACAGAGCACAGTGTCTTGACGTGTCCTGTCTTTGCTTTGTTCTCAGGGCAAGAAGACCCTAACAGTTTGCGCCATAAGTACAACTTCATCGCTGACGTGGTGGAGAAGATCGCCCCTGCCGTGGTTCACATCGAGCTGTTTCGCAAGTAAAGAGGGCCTTCTTAAAAAAAAAAAAAAAAAAAGAGGGCCTTCTTGTTTGCCCATGGCCTCTGAAGCTCCCACCAAGACGTGCTGCTGTTAGCAAGGCACTGGGGCTGTTTCTGGGGGCACTTTGAAGTGTTCAGGAGCCCCTAAATATGTTCCTACGGGAAGATGACATTTCCCCTTCTATGCTTTCCCTTTAGACTGTTTGAATATATATTCTCGACCCTTCTCAATGACTTAAGAACCTCTAGCTCTGAAGAGAGTCCCTAAGAATATTTTCTAAGTGGAATTTTCTGATGCTTGCAAATACCGATAGCCTTCCTTCCTTTTTTTTTTTAACGTTAAATAGACCCACCAACGTGTAAAGTAACAATTGCTAGATGTGTGTTGCTACTGCAGAGCCCGTGAGTCGGTGTGTTGAAGAGTCGATCTGAAGGTGTTTCGGGCTTAACGGGGCTCTCCTCTGGGTTCTAGGCTTCCGTTTTCTAAGAGGGAGGTGCCGGTGGCCAGTGGGTCTGGCTTTATCGTGTCCGAAGATGGATTGATTGTGACAAACGCCCACGTGGTGACCAACAAGCATCGGGTCAAGGTCGAGCTGAAGAATGGTGCCACTTATGAAGCCAAAATCAAGGATGTGGATGAGAAGGCAGACATCGCGCTTATCAAAATTGACCACGAGGTAAGGGTGCTCCCTGCCCGAAGAGCTGAGTTTCCAGGTGGCAAAACCTGGCGAGGTCAGAAGGCTCCAGAGCGCCCCGATTTCCTGAGAACCAGTCCAAGCCTGGACCCCAGGAGAACGTTTAGGGGCTGCTGAGTGTGGCTTGGGGAGGGGGATGGTAGGGGATGGATTCTAGAAGCTTCTGTAATAAGCAGACTGTAAGATCAGGGTTTTAAAAAAGGAAGCTTACATTTTTCTAAAAGAAAGCAATAGGATTGTAAAGAAATTAGTAGGTAAGCAGTGACGTGGAATCTCCCTTCCGTTCCTGAGGCAACTCTTCTTGTTCTTTTGTGTTCATTTGTGCAGTCACTGGGTCTGAAAACAAACCAGGTCTCCCAAAATGGGGTTTTTGTAAGATAACTAGAGGTGTGTGTGTGTGTGTGTGTGTGTGTGTGTGTGTGTGTTTTAAGATTTAATTATTTGAGAGAGAATGAGTGGAGGATGGGTGGTGGGGGTGCAGAGAGCAAGGGAGAGAGAGAAGCCTAAGCAGATCCCTGCTGAGCAGAGAGCCCTTCTCTGGACTGGATCCCAGGACCCTGAGATCAAGGATCCGAGCTGAAACCAAGAGTTGGACACTTAACCAACTGAGCCACCCAGGCACCCCTCTAGCTGTGTTTTAGAACAGTGTTCCATTCTTTGAAAACTTTTGGAAACCTTGAGTTAAAGCAAAGCCAATGGGTTTCTTTCTCACAGAATTTCTCAAAACTTTTAATATGCTAATGCACACAGGAGTCTCCCACAGAAGGGTGTATACTCCAAATGATAATCATCTGAGAACTTTTTTTTTTTCCCCAAAACTGAGATGTAGGGAGTTCAATCTGGGAAATCTTTGAAAATGGTTTGCTTTCTATTGAAATATTCTCCTGGCAGTCATTTTTGCTCTGTTGATTGGTTTAGCGACGTCTTCATACCTAAAATCAAATCCAGCTCTTACTAGACCATCGTCAATTCCCACTTGTTGGCATGTTGATTGAGGAGGTCTGGTCTTCAGTGAGATTGCATTGTTTGGTTTCTTCGTGCCCTTGTGATGTTCCGGGCTTGAAAGATTCCTGGTAGGCTGGAATCTTCTCGTAGGCCCAGGACAAGATCCTCGACTGAGAGCCACGAGGGGTCTTTCCCAGCTCTTTGCAAACTGTTGCCTGGATATGGGCCGTGAGGTCAGACCAGTGTAGTATCCCACAGGCTGTGTTTTGCGGGTCTGTGCTGCTCACTGGGGCAGAAACAGGCTCCACGGTTGGTGCAGGGAACCGGCCTTTAGCGAGGTCTCAATCGGATACTGTTTCTATGGGGTAACAGTGGAATTTCTAGCAACAGCTATCTTTGAAAATGTGTCTGTTGGTCACAACATCATCACAGCAACTTCTGCTTGATGAGCTCCAATGCTGATCCAGCCTTGGCCTTCATTTGTGACTTACACCTAATTAGCAAGATAGCTGTATCATCCCCATGTTATAGAGGAAGAAACAGGGGCTCAGAGAGCTTCAGTGACCTGCCCGAAGTCACACAGACGTGCTGCGGTGAAGCTAACCTTCCAGGCCAAGGCAGGCTGCTGACCTTCAAGTGCCCAAGGCCATGGCCTTGACCGGAGGGATGGAACCTGGCCTTTTTGGTGTGATGGGCTGGCTGCACTTTAAATAGCCCATGGAAGGCTGATGCTTCCCTGTTTAGGAACATGCAGCTAGAAAGGGGTCCAGGATGTGGTAGTCTCACCGGAAGGAGGCCGGCCAGAATAGCACATCCTGTGGCCGCACGCGGGACTTTTCAGCTCCCCGGAACCCTGGAAGGCAGCCAGCAGTGGGGCTCTCTGCAGGCAGGGTGCTGGCCTGTATGCTGCGTGAGCTCCCGCTGCTGAGTAATTCTCGGTTTGGAATGCGTGGGCACGTAATGTGCCTCTGGCCAGGGGGAGATTCTTTTCAGACTTTGAGCCAAGGCGGAGACTCTATGCTTGTATCATCCCCGACATGTCCAGGCAGGATGTGAGGGATCTCAACAGACCAGCTTTGTCTCTGACCTGGCCCTTGCTGTCCTCGGGATCCAGCCCTGTGCAGATAGCACAGCGTTTGAGAGGTGTTTCTAGCTCAAGAAAAAGATGCTTTGAATCGAAAAGTTGAACTAAATGTGGCTTTTCAAAAAGGAATCGGAAATGAATGGATATTAAATTGCAGACACCCACACAAGAGACTGGTTTCCACTGACTAAACTGCCTTTTTTTTTTTTTTTTTTTTTGCTGATAGTAGTTGGGAGTGGGGAGAGTAAACCATCTCTTCCAGCTCTTTCCCTTTTGTTCCCTCAGTATGATGATTGATTATTTAGGAGGGGGTGGAGACTGGCTTGGAAAAAGGCTCAGTTTGGAAGGAGCCTCTCCTCTCAGCAAATCCAAATCCGCCAGAGCACGCGGTTTAATAAGCTGCAGGCTGTGGATGGGCTGGGAGCTCGCCTTGCATTGGGTCACTCGCAGGAATAGCAGAAGACAAGAAACCGCGTGGGAAAACTCAAAGCAGACAGAACAGAACCAGCAAAAATTGGGCCTGAGGATCGAAAATCATTCCAAGTGGTGCGTTGCCACGTAAGGCTGTGGCCCAGCTGTCCCCAGGGCCGTTTTCTGATAACCCAAGGAAATTGATGGGACCACCCTCTGCATCCACGAGCTTGGTGGCTAACTTGGTGGCTCTTAACCTGGGCCCATTTCCTGTCCCCACCATCATGATTTCATTCAGAGGCCCTCCATCGCTTTAACAGCTGTTGTCCTTCCTGAGTGTAATACCAACACATCTTCTTTAAAGATTCTTTTTTAAAAAATTTAGAGAGAGAGAGAAAGAAGGAGTGCATGCGAGCCTGGGGTGGGAGGTGAGGGGTAGCTGGTGGGGAGAAGCAGAGGGAGAGGGAGAGAGAGAGAAGCAGATTCCCCACTGACTGCAGAGTCTGACTCCACGCTCAATCCTCGGACCCTGAGATCGTGAGCTGAACCGAAATTAAGAGTTGAACGCTTAACCGACTGAGCCACTCAGGCACACTTCGACACTTTTTTTTTTTTTAAGATTTTATTTATTTATTCATGCGAGACACAGAGAGTGAAAGAGAGGCAGAGACATAGGCAGAGGGAGAAGCAGGCTCCATGCAGGGAGCCTGATGTGGGACTTGACTCAAGGACTCCAGGATCACACCCTGGGCCAAAGGCAGGTGCTAAACCGCTGAGCCACCCAGGGATCCCACCCCTCGACACTTTTAAGGGATAGGAATTACCATGGACATCTGCTGTCATGCCCACTGGTCATCTAGCCGCCCATCTCCTGGGATCAGCAGCTAGCATTTCCTTTGGGGGTTACGTCTCCCCCATTGGACAGTCTTTGCAGGACCAAGAGTCATGATGCCCCACCCTCCGGGGCCTGGGAGTGGACACATGACCCATGGATCAAGAAGACCCTCCCCTCCGAGGGGTAGCTGGGTGTCAGCTTCACAGTAACCGCGTGGACAGTGCTGGTGCAGCCCCTGCCGCTGAGCCCCCTGGGTGCTCTGGGCTCCCACCCTTTCTGACCCAATCTGTCTATGTTTCCTTCCATTCTTGGAACTCGCCTCGCATCTCCAGTGAACCCTCCTTGGCTCGAGATTGCTAGCGACATGTCTGGGCTTGCGACCAAAGAACTCTGTTTTTGCTCCTCAACTGCTGAGAAGACACATGTGCACTCACTTTCCCTGCTGAGTTTTGAGAAGAAGGCTGGCCAGCAGAGCGGCCTGGTCTGTCCCCGGCCCCCCCCCCTCACCCCTAAGGTGGGGGAAGAGGGTGACCCCCACCCCTGCAGGCCCATTCTGGTGCTTCTGTCCTAGGATCTGTGCCTCATCTTTCCTGGGGCCAGCAGTCGCCTGGGGAAAGAATGCCAGCTGCAGGAAGTAGGGACAGTGTGCATGCAAACATTTTAATAGAAAGCAGCTTTGAGGGCAGACTAGTTCAGCTTCAGATACAAACTGTTTCCAAATGTGTTCAACATGACACCGGCCCAGTTTGCAGAACATTTAAACATTTCATCCAAATGCAGCATTTTGTCTCTGCAGATTTTTCCCTGAGTAGTTGGGGGGGGGGGGCGGTGCAGAGAGGCTGTGGCTATAGAGGGAGAGGTAAAAGGAGAGTGATTTGGTCTCTCTAGGCCAGACTCCAGGGCAGAAACACCTGGGATATGATGAAGAAGGTAAGAGGGGAGCTACTACTTTTCTTACAGCGGTTTCCCAGCTGTGTTGGTGAGGAAGCACCACGTCAAAAGCACACGCCTCCCTTGCTGATTCCAGCTTTCAGACCACGTGCTGTCTACCCTTTTTGCCTTTCCCACTGTTCTTACAGAGAGAGCTTAGCTCCTTGCCCAGGGCCTCAGAGGCCTGGCCGGATGGGGCGCCCCCTCCCAGCTTCGCCTCCTCCTTCTGCCCCTCACCCACCTGCCCAGCCACCCCTCCTCTCTTGCCTCCCTCAGGCCAGGCCAGGGCTGCTCTCCTGGGGATCTTGGCCTTGGCTCCCCGGGGTGTGTCCCCCGCGGCTCCTGCAGAGCTGGCCTTCCCATCCGTCGGGTCTCGACCGCATGCTGCCCCAGACAGCCCTTCCCCAAGCCGCTGCCCAAGGCGGCTCCCCACATCCCGGCCCCCGACTGTCACTCGGGGACAGTCACATTTCACTCTTCGTCTCCCACCTCCTCGTCTCCTTAGCCTGTTTGACCGTTGTCTTGTTGATTTAAGTCGATGTGTGCTGCTGGAGTTTGAGGGACACGCCGGCCTCACTTACCTGTCGGGTAGTAGGCGCTGGGTGGCTGGACCCAGGACCAGCCCAAGTGTCCCGGGCTCATAGGGAAGCGAGGCCCACTGCTCCGAGACATGCAGGCGGGGACACACGGGGCTCATGGGGCGGCCCGTGGCCCGTTGTCAGATGAGGGCGTGATGGCACAGTGTGTGGGCCACCCCTCCACTTCCCTCCGCGCTCT